AAACAGGATAGAAATGAAATGAGACTAAGTGCTAAGATCTTACACCTTTTGCGGCTGGCTACCTCTTGCGGTTGAATACATCTCACTAAAGCATAAAGTAGTTCATTCTATTTCCGTTAAGTATATTGGTGCCTGCAGCCTGCAGCCAAATGTGGTTTCTTCTATAAACTGTGGCTAAGCAAACTATGGCTTAGCATAAAATACAAATAGGCTATGAAGCTGTGAGATATGAAGAGAATCTAAACCCCACTCATCTGAATTTGAATACTGTTGCATTGGCACGTTGCCCTGACAACGGAGCCGCTTCGTCCTAATTGGTTACATTATTCCTTTTGTTTAAGTGGGAGTTTCTGCAGTTCCTGATTGGTTAGAGCGATTCTGAGAACAGCTATATAAGAGCTGTCAGGCATTTTCTTCTGTTGTTGTTCTTACTGGGTTATGTTTGTTACTCAATAAATGATGTTCTTTGCCACCCGTGTTGCCTCAGTAATTACCACCCTCGCAAATTTAATACTGGCGACAAAGGTGGGATATTGAGGCGCATGGTTATTGGAGTCCTGAGGAAGGGCCGATTCGTTGAGGGAGCTTGCTGGAAAACCAATTTTAACAACCAGTTTAAGAGCACTATACAAATGGCTCCGCCCATGTTCGCCCCGTTTAATGCTGCTGCCGAAACCTGGGATGCCTACGAAGAGAGGTTTGAATGTTTTTTGGAGGCAAATGACTTTACTGATTTGTCTAGCAGCCGTAAACGGGCACATTTCTTAAACACTTGTGGTCCTGAGGTCTTTGCGACAGCCCGAGCTTTAGTAGTACCCCAGCCAGGCCACACAATTCCTTGGGATGTCCTGAAGGAAAAGTTAAGGGGCCACTATTCTCCAGTTCCATCCCACATAGCCCGCTGTTTCAAATTAAGGCAGATACTACAAGAGGAGGGAGAGCCAATTAACCGATATGTGGCTCGCCTCAGGACTGCTGCTCTTGACTGCTAATTCAGGGAGTTAGAGGATGCCTTGCTGGAACAATTAGTTTGTGGGGTGCGTGATATCGATTTACAAAAAAGCTCTTGGCAAAGAAGAGCTTAGACCTCCAAACAGCTGTGGAAGAAGCCTAGGCGGCGGAGATGTCCAATAAATCTACTGGGGACATACGCCGCTTTCAAACCCAAATTAGTCAGCCTGAAGCCGTTCATTTCCAGGAAGTAAATTCCGATGAGGCCACAGATGATGAGGCAGATGTCAGCCGCCTCCGGGCATCCGCCACCCGTCCAAAAGGCCTGACCAGAAAAAAGAATCCACCGGCATTGTGCCTCAGTGGAGATGATCACTCCCGCTCCACTTGTCGTTTCCGCATGGCCGCCTGCCGCCGTTGTGGGAAGCAAGGACATATCACATGGGTCTGCCGCTTGGGAAATCAGTCTACTACCGGCCGAAAGTATAAGCGTGCTGTTGGCGGATCAACTCCAATTAACGAAGATTGTTTTGCCATTACCCGCGGCCGCCGGGTCACTAAAGTGACCACACATCCCAGAAGTCCAGCCCAGTCCGCCAAGCTCCTTATGAATGTCAAGATTGAAGGTGCAACCAGCCAGATGGAGGTGGACACTGGATCGTCTAAGTCGATCGTTTTCAGGTCCACCATGAAAAAACTGCTGCCCAACCTGCGGAAAAGCAGCCTACTGCCTTGCCCCATTCAGCTTAGAGATTATCAGGGGAATCACATTCCCATTGTTAGGCATGGCTGATTTTTAGTAGAGAAGGATGGGTTCACTGGCCGCCTTCCCTTGATAGTCGTAGACAGAGCCCTCCCCAGTCTTTTAGGGTTGGATTGGTTTGGCTCTCTCGGGTTGGGTATTACTGGGATCCATTCCACAGCCGTGGCAGATGTTGACGCACTTTACACCGGGTTTGCTGATGTGTTCAATGAATCCCTGGATAAATATGTTGGGTCCCTGATCTCCCTAAATCTAGACCCTCAGGTAGCCTCTATTAGGCTCAAGTCCCGGCGTGTCCCATTTGCCTTGCGCCCAAAGGTGGACGCAGAATTAGACAAGCTTATCAGCCAAGGGGTGTTAGAACCTACTGACCACTCCCAATGGGAGACCCCAATAGTAATTCCTATCAAACCAGATGTGCAGCCATGGCTAAATATAATATATAATCTCACCTGAATGGCTAGTTGATATTAGTGAAGAACACTCGTTATTAGTGCAAGTTCAAATCATCTTTTCTGAGGATGAAAAAATTCTTTTCTGCCTGTAATTTTCCCATCATGCATGAATGTTTACATGTGTTCTGATAGAAATTTGATTTCTGCATTTTTTTTACATTACAGGATTTTAGTTTATTATAGATATTTTTTGACTACTGTTACTAGATTTTTTATTGCTTAATATTTGTACCATAATGAAAACACAGATCTTCTCAGTAAATAGATGGTCAGATACAAATCCTACCAATTTTATATTTGTGCTAACAGATTGAAAGGAAAATGTATGTAGCTTATTTAAATTATTTAAATTAATTAGCACAAAGTTTTCTCCACAAAACTATGCATACCTAACTGTAGGGATGGTAATTTAGACATTTTCAGTTCTTGTTTATGAGGATTAATCATTTATTTAGGTGGCAAAATAGGTCATCTGCTATCTGCATTTTGTTGGCTACAGTATTAATCATGTGCAGATTAAAGGAACAGAATTAGGTACTGGGTTATGAAATCTGTTAAGCAATGCACATATACAACTTTATGATTATGTAATGATGAACTTGTAACTCTTTTGCAATTACATGTATTGTGTTATTGCACCAGATTAGGGCATAGGCAATAATGAACACACAGAATCTTATCATATGAACAACAGATAGAAATAATTTGCAGTATTGCTACAGTGCTCACATAAGTGGAGATCTAAACTAAAATATGATACATTTTTAAAGATCTAACTTTCTTATTATGTAAAGCTATTTTCTATATTTAATATAGCTTAAATTCTTGTTCCTACAGATTACTTCCAGCTCATATCTGGATGCAATTTCACTTTACAGTGAATTACTGCCAAGGCAAATGGTATTGCCCAACCCATTGTAACCCTATCCAATCTTATTTAATGTTGATGCAGTATTCTGAACGGACTCAAGGAGGAAGCCTCTGGGTATTTTCTGTTATAGAGTGGGTGGAGTTCTTCAGAGAAAACAAAAACATGAGCTGCTGATCACATTGGATCAGTTTATTTATTTATTATTTATTTATTAGTTCGATTTATATGCTGCCCTTCTCCGGAGACTCAGGGTGGCTTACAATGCATTAAGCAATAGCCTTCATACTTTTGTATATACCTGCTTAGTAGGGCTTTTTGGGGCCCCCCAAGTGGTATTCTATTTTATACAATGTCAGCTTATTGCCCCCACAAACCGGGTCCTCATTTTAACTACCTCAAAAGGATGGAAGGCTGAGTCAACCTTGAGCCTGGTGAGAATTGAACTCGCAGTAATTCCAGGCAGCTGGCAGCTAAGTGCTACTTTAACAGCAGCAGTTTAGTCTGCTGCGCCACCAAAGCTCCTTAATATCCTCTAAGAATTTAATTTCCTTGAATACTGACATAATCTTTTAGTCAATAAGGGAATCCCAGCCTTTGAGATCTGTTTCTTTATTTTTAAATTGTAACACAAAGAATCTTAAGAAATGTTAACATTCATATGGAACACTCAGCTGTGAAATCCACTTACCTTTGTTGCCAGTTCAGAAATGGGAGCGCGCGGGAGCATGTGCAGAGGGTCAAAGAGGACATAATGATGTCTTGGTGGGTGGGTGGAGCTCCCGCTGCCGGCGCTACTGGTTCGCGCAAGCCAGATAGATCCAGCGGATTTCACTGCTGGAAACACTGCTTTCTATGATTACCCACAAATTTTAGTGAATGATAGTTGTATATACAAATATAGAGATTTATTGGGAGAAAAATAACTGCCAATATCCTAGTTTGAGTAGTAAGTAAAGGAGCTTTTTTAAGGAAAAGTGACAATATAACTAATTTTCCAAGACTACCCAAATAGATACGATTTCCATTCAACCCAGCCTCAGCATTTACACTATAAAATAGATTAATAGTTTTTATTCAAGGAAATAAAAACAATAGGCTATAACATAATCCCAACAGCAATGTTAAGATTTGGAGTTTATCTATATATACCCAATATTGGGTCATTGACCTCAATAAGCAAAGAAAAAAAAAAACACATAAAGGAAATCCAACAAGAAAATGGAAGGAAGCTTAAAGAAGAATTCCAATCATGAGCATGTTTCATTTAGCATTGCACTTAGTGTCTAGATTTCATTCATTGTGATTTCTCTTCTGTAGCAAATTCCATATTTGAGATCACAATAATAGAACACCAAACTTTGATCATATGGTAAATGTACAAATACAGAGAAATTTCTCAGTCATTTACTGAAACACAGTGAGATGTTCCTTTCACCAGAAATAATGGGTAGGAAAATTACAGGCCAATATCATTTTGGAAGGATGTGGCATTAGGGAATTACTACAGCCACATTCTGTGACACTAGTCTATGTCATTTTTAAGAGGGACTCCATCTCAAACCTTCAAAATGGATGATGTTGGAGAAATGGGAAACCTTAAATTTTTATATGACAGTCTTAATTTCCATACAGTAATGTTAGCTGTGTTTTCAGGTGCTGTTTACAGAAGATACCTTCTAATAGACTCCCACTAGTTAATTATTACTTAAAGAAGTTCAGTGGTGCAAAGCATATTTTTAAAAATAACACCTTCAAATCAATGCACAAAATTACAAAAATATTAAAATACTTCCCTTGTGCAGTTTAAAATGACTCTTAAATTAAATCACAAACCGGCAACATTCATTCTAGACCGTAAACCACCATTCACTTAATTTTATCTCTTTGATCTTATGCCCAAAGTTTTCCTCGTGCAGTAAGATGCCAAGAATCTAATTCTCCCTATGACATGTGATGATAACACGCCGCCTCTGCGAAACTAATCGCATTCCGAAACTTGTTTTCTAGCCTGTGAATTGAACTTTCTTCCAGTTGACAGAGCTAAAATATCTCCGTATCCACATAGGATTGTCTTTCTCATTCTAGTTCGCTCAAAGAGGAGGTGCCACTTTCTGGAAGCCGAGGTGCAAATCTTTTAGGCCCGCAAGCATGGCAGCTACCGCCGAGACCCCTATACAGGCTGTCTCTATTTTTCAGGAGTTCCGCGCCATGTTTTACGTTCTTGGTCCCAGCGAGAGCTCCTTCCGCAGCGTCAAGGAAGTTCCCGATTACGTCGACAAGGTGAGAGCTCCTAATCCCACCTTCCTAAATGTTACCCCCTCTTTTCTCTGCAACAAACTGCTACACTTGCGTAGGCTGCTGCGCTTGGAGAACGCAGACCGTTTCCGAATGTGTGGGTGAAAACGGGACCTTGAAAAGTCACTTTTGAACCCTCAGCATGGAAGGAAAAGTTCCTCCTGAATTTTTTTTCCATATTTTTTTCCGCCCATCAGAACTCTCCCGCCTCCGCGAGTGGAGGGAGTTGTTTATGAAATCACCTAATCGCTTGGAAGAAAACGCTGTCTTTTGTGAATCTTGAAGTTAGGTAGTAATCTTAAGCCAACATTCGCTGATTCCCAAAGAAGCTGCGTTTGAATGGCAGAAGATTCAGAACTCAGGAAGGCTCGGTTCGTGGCTAAACTATTATTTAAAAAATAATATTCCAGGAAAAACCTTATCTTATTGGTGTTAAGAAAACTATATGAAGATGTTTAATGAAGTCACCAACAATCAAGCTGAACTGAAAGGAGACTTACTTTTTGAGGTGTAACTCCCATTGTCTTCAGGTTGATGGAGGCTATAGAGTAATGCAATACATTTGGAAAAGATCAAGACATCTCTCCGGTTAAGAGATGGCAACTAGTCCAAAGTATGCTATATTCTGAACCTGGCTTGAACTATATGAGTATATAGCTGGGTAGACATAGCCTCCCTATTTTTACTCCTCCTTTAGTTAGAAGGAGCATATTATTTTTCTAGTTTTATATATTTCTTAGATTAGTGAACTTTTTTGCTTAGCTTTTTGAATCACAACATAAATAAATTGGGAGAAGCATTTGTATATTTTGGCCCAGTCACTATCTCTTAGCCCAACTTTTCCTTAAGAGTATTTTGGGAAAAAATGGAGGAGTGATTCTGTGTATGATGTCTTACATTCTATAGGAGCTGTGGTGGTGCAGTGGTTAGAATGCAATACTGCAGGCTAATTCTGCGGACTGCTGGCTGCCAGCAGTTTGGCAGTTCAGTTCTCATTAGGCTCAAGGTTGACTCAGCCTTCCATTCTTCCGAGGTCGGTAAAATGAGGAGGCAGATTATTGGGGGCAATATGCTGACTCTGTAAACCGCTTAGAGAGGGTATCCTTGAGGGATGGACAATTTTAAAATATGAAAAAGAAACAAATGTTATGTTCCTGGCAGCAGTACAAAAGTGAGCTGTTGTTTCTTCTGAATGAAAGAAGAGATGTATCCCAAGCAAATACAATAAATAACTCTGGGACATTATGTGAATTTTTATACCTCTGACTTGATGGTATGTGAACTTTGCCCAGATTTCTTAATTGTGTTTTATGTTTTCCTATGTCACATATATTTATTATTTCTAAGCCAAATCATGCCTTAGAACAATGTAGAAATCCAGTTCTGCCTTTCAGGATATGTTCCATTTCTCCTCCTAAAGATGGAATCTGATGTTATATCTATAAGTATAGATAGAATGCAAAGAAGGATTATCACTGATAATTAAAGTACTGCACTGGTTGATAGGAGACAATGTGCCTTTTTGTCATTTACTTCAAAACATGTTAATTCTTTATTAATATTAGTGCAAAAGTTATTAGTCCAAGTTAGTCAAAATTCAGTGTTTTCAATGGTTTTGAATATTTTTCAAGGGTGCTCTCACAGAATGCATTGCAATGATTCAATACCATCAGCTAAGAAACATTTGGTTTCTTAGCTGATGATTCTTAGCTAAATGTGGTAACAATATATATTAAAAGTGAATTTGTGCAGTGATAGATCTGTGATGGCACTTCCCAAATGCAGAACATCTTCAGTGCAGTCTGGAACACATTAATTAATGTGATCACTTGTTATGGCTTTATTTAAGGAGTTTTTTCCAACCTGTGCTGAAATTAAAGCTCCCAGAATGGCAAGCTATCATAAGGACTAAAGTAGGCCATCAGAAATTTCACAGAATGCAAGTGTTTTGAATGGAAGAGGAGACATGTTAGGAGTCCAGCCACTCTCCATTTCCGCTGTAACTGAAATAGGGAAAAAATCAAGTTGCATTAATTGGCATCTTTTCTCCATTAAAAAAAAAATCAGTTGGCATTGATTGGGATATATTCAGTATTCTAACCTTGATGATGATTAGTTTTTTTACTGAACTTTGAATAAAGTCACTAATTGCCTCCCTCCTGTGTCATGGTGATTTTTAATATATAAAGATTGTTTTTCTGTCCTTAATCAAAATCAGATATGAATGATACAGATGCATGTTACATATTTTCTGAGCATCAAGGCCAGAATGTCTTTGGCTCAAGGTCAGGCTGAATAGAGACGTATAGTACATGGATTGCACTGTCAGCATCCTTACTAAACTATGTACAGTTTACAACAATACACTCATTAAGATATACAGATAATGCTGTAGAGCCGTGATGGTGAACCTATGGCACACGTGCCACAGGTGGCACATGGAGCCATATCGGTGGGCATGTGAGCATTGCCCTAGCTCAGCTCCAGCATGCATGCGCACGCTGGCCACCTGATTTTTAGGCCTTCTGGGCCCACCAGAAGTCAGGAAATGGACTGGAGAGCCTCTGGGGGAGTGGGGAAGGCCGTTTTTGCCCTACCCAGGCTCCTAGAAAGGCTCTGGAGCCTGGGCAGAGCGAAAAATGGGCCTACAAGGCCCACCATGCCATCATGTGGCAAAAGCAGGAGGAGTGTGTGGGGGTTGCGCGTGCATATGCGGGGGTGGGGTGCATTGAAATATGGGTGAGTGCATGCATGCGCCCCCCCCCCCAGTGCTGCTCCTGCTTTTGGCATGCAACAGCAAAAAGGTTAGCCATCACTGCTATTGAGGAAGTAATACCAAAATATGTATGTTTAAGTTTAAATCATTATTGGAAAGCAAAAGCGGAGAGTACATAATATGCTTAAGTTTTTACTTTGTTTATGTCTGTTTCCTTTCATTTTAGGCAACTCCCTTGTTTATTACCCTGATTTTGCTGGAGATCATAATTAAGTGGGCCCAGAAAAGACATTTCTTTTTCCTACACAGTGACGATATAACTTCTTTGTCTGCCGGTATCTTATCAAGAATTCCAGAGTAAGTTTAATCTGATGTATAGCTTGGTTGACTCAGATTTAGAGAGAGAAAAATGGAAAATTAGGGGAAATTCCTTATTTTTTTTAATGGTTTTCATAAACTTTGACTAATATATAATAATTTATAATAGCTTATTGTATAATTGCCGTAATAATAGCTTTAAAATCTATTGAGACATGTAGCTAATAATATAATGCAATTTTCAGAGATTCTGGTTTTTCACATCTATTTCAAGCTGTTTCCAAACTCAAGTAGTTCAAAGGTTAGTTAGTTAATTAGTTGGTTTATTGTATTGATTAACCCTTGGGCCATATCAAAGTGCAGAGTTCCAGACACAAATTATTACTAACATTTGATAAAAACAATTTAAAATGGAATTGGAATAAAAAATAATTTAAAATAAAATTGGAATAAAATATAATTTAAAATGAAATTGGAATAAAATACATAATTAAATATATAGATAAATAAATAACTAAAATATAAAATTCAAATGCTTAAAACTAAAAAATGAACTATTTATTCATATAGCACTTAATTATACAGCTAAAGAAATAAAAACTATAGTCATTTGTATTTGTAATTCAGACATTTTGATCTTACAAAATAATGAAGGCAATTTATGGAAGTAAAGTTATTTGTTACTTCTATTCTTCTATTGCAGTCTATGATACTCAAAAAAGTAGAGTCCTAATGAACAGAGATTGCACTGGTAATGAAGAGAAATGGAAAATTGCCTTTCTTTAATTCCATTTAAATAATCTTAAAATATAAGCCCCAAACTACTGAATATTGGGCATATTCTATATTTTAGAATATAGGAAAGGAAAAGAAACAACATGCCTGCTACTTTTGTGGGTAAAATATTTATCCACGTAGTTGGAAGGAGTTAAGGTTCACTTCAATTCTCACACACATACTCCTATTGCTCATTTTGATATTGATATACAAGAAGATTCTACAGCAGATCATAAAGTAAATGGTTTGCAAGCTTCTTGAAAATAATACAGTGATTAAGACAGGTAGTATTGCCAAAAGGGTAGTTCTGTCAAATTGAAATTAAGCTATACTATTTGCAATGTCACTATTATAATCTGCTACCAGATCAAAAATAAGATTAATTGGAGAAAGTATGTCATATCCCTCTGAGTACAACTTCATTCAATACTATTAATTATTAATTCAGTCCACAATTAGCTTGTAACCTATGGTTCCTCAACAAACTAGTGTGAAGCATTAATGGATTTCACTGGCCAGTTCTAAGAAGGGTATTCATCAACATTTTCTTTAATGATTTTGATGATCAAATATCTACGCATGTAATTCTTACCAAATTTGCAAATAATAAAAAGGGGTGACAAGGCATCTCTTGATTGGCTTGCTAGAAACTGACATAAATAAACTTCCAAATATCATAAAGGAATTCCAGCAACTGCTCTGCATAAAGTACAGTATTTTTTTATAATGAAGAAAAGTTTTTAATACTTTTACTTCTTCATCTTGGTCATGCAGTGTGACAGACTTAGACACTGTCTTTTGGAACAAAATATTAGTTTCCACATTTAATTTTGATAATGGAGTAATCTGGTTTAACTCTTCAATTCTCATCTTTTGGGAAATGGCTCTCTAATAATTTAAGAGATAGAAATAGAGTTTAATATAATCTTTATAGACTAGTTGATGGGCTAAAAACAGCATAATGATATGTAAGTGAAACTTCATTAATAAATCAGTAGAGAATATGAGAACTGCTTAGTAATAAAGGACATTGTAATTGTTCAACAGTTGTATATGGGTCAGTAAGATAGTTATTTGAAAAGGCAAAATCAATTTGTGTTTGTATGTGTGAATTAAACAAGAAGCAGTTCTGTTATTGTTCTGTCCCCCTTCCTCACATAGGCAGATGTAATACCAAGCACGCCTGCCAATACCAATTGGTAGTTTACCAATTTTATTAGGTAAACAGATTAGAATTCTTGGCAGACTAAGGTTTTGGCAGCAAACTGCCTGCCAAGACCGTTTTCACTCTCATAAAGCAGAAGAGGACTTATCTTCAGTCCGTTCAAGGAGCAACAAATTATCCACGAGACAAGAGTTTAGTCAATGTTCAGTCCAAAATATATCCAAGCTGAATTTCAGAGATCACGATGTAACTTTCAGGGTTTAACTTTGTCCTTCACAAAGCCTGAAGAGCAATCCCACCCACTTTTATTCCTGGTGGGGCATGGTTCTGTGACTCAGCTCAATCTCTGGCCCTCCCATGCTTCTTCCATTGTTGCGCACGCTTCTCCCTCCGACGCTGCCTGGGATCAAGCCAGGATTCATCATCCTCGCTCCCTATCAATTGGTGCTCCGATATGCCTTCGTCCTGGCACATCCCAGGCTGTTCCTCCTGGCCTTCAGATGAAACCTGAGGCATTGCAAGAAAGGAGGGTCCTGGAGAGGAAGGCCTTGTCAGTTCCTCCCCATCACCTTCTGAGTCCTCTTCCTCTGTTAGGACAGGCTCAGGAGTTGGCGTCACAACAGTTATATTCTGCTTTGAACAGACTCCAGATCATTATTACTGGCATTAGTCTGCTAATGACAAACTGGGTGAAGTGTAACAAAGAGCAGGAAAAATGGTCAGGTGGCTAGGAAGTAGAAAAGTGTGAGGAATGTGCAGCTGGAGAAGGAGTTGAGGCAATGGTGGGATTCAACCAGTTTGCATCACTTCGGCTGAACTGGTTGTTAAATTTCTGGCTGGCCCCACCCCACCACTACTTATTGGCCTCACACACCTTGGTTGGTGCCTTAGAGTCACACTGTGGCATAGCTGCAGCTGCTCTTTGGCTCCCTTCTCTTGAATACATGGCCATGTGGCCTAGCCTGCTTCCCTTTGCCATGGCTATGATGTGGCAGCCTCCCGCTTGTCTTGGCCTGCTCCCAACCGCTCCAGCAGTAGAACAGGTAAGCACAGCTGGGTGCCCCCTCAGGGAAGCGGGGCTGGGAAGGGTGGTTGATCTGCACCTGCCTGACCACCCGAGTAGTGGTGGCCTACCCTGGTCGTATTGCCTTGGTGTGCTGCTGGCCCCATAGGTTTGCGCCAGGGGTGAAATCTAAATTTTTTTCCTACCGGTTCTGTGGGTCTGGCTTAATTGGTGGGTGTGGCTTGGTCAGGTGACCCGGTGGGTGTGGCTTGAAGGTCAGGTGACCAGCTGGGCATGGCCAATAATAATAAATAATAAAAATAATAAACAAAGTACACAAAACAATAAGATGTACCAAAAACCAACTTTCACACTTTATGCACACACAACACAACACAACTAAATGACTCATACACAATGTAAAACCCAAAATGGCCCCTGCAACAAGCAGGAACCTCACACAGCCACAAAAAGCTCAAACACCAACTTTCACACTTTACACACACACAACACAACACAACACAACTGACTCACACACAATGTAAAAGCAGCTGCACTTCATCCAAAATGGCCCCTACAACAAGCAGGAAACTCACACAGCCACAAAAAGCTCAAAAGCCAACTTTCACACTTTTTCCACACACAAAATGCCACATACAGTTTTGTGAGATTTTGTGTGTTTGTGTAATTGGAGTGAAACACTACAGAAACACACCAAATCTCAGAAAGCTACACAAATATTTTATTTTATTTTATTATTTTATTTTATTTTATTTATATTTTAGATAAAAACAGCTAAATTTAAAACTTCCTTAACTTTAAATTTAAAAAAAAAAAATTCCTAAAAAAAATCCCAATTAACTATTTTTTTTAAAGCTCCCAGTTACTTACCAAATTGAAGGCACAAGGCAGGCAGATTGAGTTGCTCACCAATTGGATTGATTGCAGGCAGGCAGATTGAGTTACTCACCGATTGGATTGATTGCAGGCAGGCAGATTGAATTGCATACGGATTGGATTGATTTCAGACAGGCAGATTGAGTTGCTAGCTGATGCAATGAATTGCAGCAGCTGAAGCAAGGCAGGAAAAGCAAGCGAACCCGAAAGAAGCAGCAAGCTGCCAAGTGGGCAATTGGGCAAATGGGGACTGGGTGATTGGGTGGGCATGGATGAGTGGGGGGCAGGGATTTTTGCTACCAGTTCTCTGAACTACCTGCCACCATTGCTACCAGATTGCCCAATCCTTTCCGAACTGGGAACATTTCACTCCTGGTTTGCACTGCCTCTCGCTCAACTGACCAACCACCTCGACCTGATGCTCTCAACTGCCTCGACCTATCGGTTGAAGATCCGCTATTGCTAGGCATATAAATAAAGACAAAAGATTTCCTTAAATTATTTCATTTAAAGTATTGAAATAGGATCTTAACTATTAAATGAAAATAACTTTAAAAATGAGCCTTAACTCTTTTTTGTTACTCTTGTAACAAAATCTAGTTTTGTGTTACTCTTATTTTTATTTAAGTATTAAATACATAAAATAAACTACCTTTTGGTGTATCTTATTTTATACTTAAAACAGTAATTAGAGCAAAGAAATGATGTTGAGTTGCCATGTCCACCCATAACATGCCTACCTAGCCACACCCACAGAATCTGTTGCTAAATTATTTTAAACCCACCACTGCATGGAGGGGAATCTCGGCAACAGCACCACAGTTTCCTGGTGTGAAAAATGGTCCTTAGTCACTTTTTTCAGTGCTGTTGAAACTTTGAACAGTCACTAAACAAATGGTTGTAGGTCAACGACTTCCTGTAACCTTTAGTTAGGATCGTTGGATTCCTGTATTGAGAAGGGATTTGGATTCAATAGCCCCCAAAGCCCTTTTTAAGTTACAATCTAATGAATGAGCCGTCATGCTCTGTAATGTTAGTTTTACTTTTTAGTTGCCTTGGTGGACCAGCATTTATAATATTTAGTTCCCAAAATGTATTTTAAATGTTGAATTTTTAGAAGACTACAAAATTACTTTTTAAAAGCATTATTATAGTTAGAAACATGGTTTGATTAACCAAATATTATTTTGCATCTTC